AACACATTTCAGCTAGGGATGTAGTTCGGTGGTCGAGCGCTTGCCTACCTTGCACAAGACCATGAGTTCGATCCCTACCACTGCAAGAAAATAAGGCAAAACAAAAATACACATTTCTGTGTTGTACTTCAGAAGTACCTCATCAGAGTCTCTAGGGACATCAGAATCTGCATTTTAACAAGGCCTCCCTCACCGCAGGCAAGTAATAGGACCAAGCTAATTGGGGAACTCAGTTCTGGCCATCCACAGTGCTCTCCAAGTACAAACCCCCCAACACTCTAAATTCCCTGAAGAAGTCTTGTTGCCCTGCACTCCAGCCAGCACCTCTTGCCAAGTCCTGGTTGAGCCTTGAGAGGGTTTCTTTGTGCAGTGCAGGGCTGATGCAGGGTTGATGCAGGGTTCAGAGACTTGTGCATGCCCTGGAGCTGGAATAGGACTTTCAGAAAATATACTGGCCCAGGAGGTGGAAGAGCTGGCTCTGCAGAACCCCCTGCACTGCCCAACTTTGGATCCATCATTGGCCTCCCTCTATCTCTGATTCTTCCTTTATAAAACAGAGTCAGGGCTCCTTACCCTCACTGGCCCAGTGAATTAATGGAGCCTTCAAGGAGTTGATGAAGAGTGAGACATATATAGACAAGCACACATAGCAGGGCATCTGTGGCTCACACCTGTAATCCTAGCAATAGGATGGGGAGGATCAAGGCTAGCCCAAGCAAATAGTTTGTAAGATTCCATCTCCCAAATAACCAGACCAAAATAGGCTGGAGGTATGGCTCAAGTTGTAAAACTCCTGCCTTGCAAGGGCAAAGCCCTGAGTTCAAACTCCATCCCACCTAGAAAAGAAAAAGTATACAACTCTCAGTGGTGTTCTAGAGTCAACTGATAATGGCTAGCAAAAGCTATCTGGCAAAATTTTAGGATTTTTTTTTTTTTTTGAGCCATTTGTTAAATCTTTGGTGGAAGCCTGACATGGGCAACGGTGGAATTGTTTACACCACAAAAAGTGGCAAATGTTACAAATTAGGACATTTCACCTGGAGAGAGCCAGTTGTTAGCCATTTAGCAGCACACACATTGAATGAATGCACAGCATGACCAGGCTCTTTTACATCAAAGGACTTTATGTGCTGTGGGGAAAAAAAAAAAGGGAGGTCTTTGCCTAACTGCAAGTCTGGCCCAGAGGTCACTGCTTTCCTTTCCATACCTCAACTAGCTGTTTAGCTGTGACAACAGGACTCAATGTTCACCCTCTCCTCCCAGGTGCCTCAGAGTCACCACTAACAACAAGGCCCTGGTAGCCACATTTGACTTACAACCCTAGAAGATCTAGGGAAGATCTGAAGCCCGAGAGGGACAGCAGTGCTACGTGGCCTGCCCCTGTGCAAAAGAGGTGTGGGCTCAAGGGAAGACTTGTACGTACCTCAGAAAGAACTGGATTGTCACAGCCTCTCTTGGGGCTGGTGGGGGGAATCTGAATTTGACCTTATTAAGAACCCTTTGTTATACATTATGGTGCCAAAGCCAAGTCTTGAAGACTTTGTCTTCATCTCAGAACTCAGAGTTGCCTTTAAGTGCTCTTCTGGTAACATCAATGTTAAACTAGATACACATGAGGCAGGCAGCACTGTGCATAGGAGCTCGACACACTCAGAAGTAGAATCAGGGAACAATGCTCCACTCTCTCTCACCCAGAATCCGCCCTACCCTTCCTCAAGCCCAGCTTTGGGGTGTGCAGAAAGGGTTCAGGCGGCCTGTGCTCTGAATCTGGAAACTGAGAGGACAAAAATTGTTGAGCTATATCTAGACTTAGGTTTTAGATTGCTTGAGCCTGGCTGGGACTGTTCTCTTACGGGGAAGTTTAGTCAACAGCTTCTTACTATTTGCTTCATGAAAGAATCTATGGGGAATTCTGAGGTTATAAGATGATTTGAGTCATCAAGTAATTTAAATCAAACGGGGCCATCTCTCTCCAGCCAAGAGCCAAGTTCAATGATGAGTCAAGGCATATCATTGATGAGTATAGGCACAATATGAGTTCAGAGTTAGAGGGCTCTGTAAGACTGAGAGGACTGAGAAGGCTGCTGGAGAATGTGTCCTGGGATTAAAGGAGCTTCCCAGGGAGGAAGGAGGAACGATGGACTGAACAAAGTCACCAGCCTGTGACTATTCAAGAGTACTCATCACTAGACCAGTGGGAGATCAGGTCAGCAAGGTAAGTTGAGGTCATGTTGAGGAAGATTAACTTTGGCCTATGGGTGAAAGAAGAGCCCCTGACAGTGTTTTCATTTTCTATTGCTGTGAAATAAATTATCACAGTTTTAAGAGTTGTAAACTATACCGATTTTTTAATCTCACAAAATTTCTGTAAGTCAGAACACTGTGCACAGCGTATGCAGGGTCTCTGCTCAGGGCCTCAAAGTTGAAATCTAGGTGTAGACTGGATTATGTTCTTGTCTGGAACTTTGGGTCCTCCTCCAAATTCATTCAGGTTGTTGATAGGATTCAGTTCCTTGAGGTTGTGGCAATGTGGCTCTCACTTCCTTACAGGCTGTCAGCCAGGCCTCCTGTAGGCCTTTTGCCATCCCCTGCCAAATAACCCTTTACAAAACATGGCAGTTTTCTCCTTCAAGGTCAGCACAATAATTTCTCATGCTTTGGATCTCTCTGAGTTCAGAAACAGCTCAGTCACTTTTAAGAGCTCACCTGCTTAGGCGAGGCAACTCAGGATAATTTCCCTTTTGATTAACTTTGATGTCAATTGATTAGAAATCTAATCACAAGAATGATATTACATCATCTTCAGAGGTTCAGCCCACACTCAATGGGAAGAGATTATACAGAACAGAAATCCTGGAGGCCTTCTTAGAATTTTCTCTATCTCAGACAGTTTTCAGCTGAAGAGCTCCAAAAGACATTATGAGAAGGCTAGAGGCATACTCAAGTGGTACAGCGCCTGCCTAGGAAGTACAAGGTCCCAAGTTCAAACCCAAGTACCACCAAAAATGCTCCCAAAAAAACATAATGAAATTGATTTAGGGACTTGGCAGCCAAAGACCAGCCAGAAGACTACAGCCATCATAGAGAGCAGGTCATAAGAAAGGGATAGGTGGATAAATGGGAATGGTATTATAATAGATCTGCAGGATCTGTTTTCCTGACACCTGAAATGTTTCTCCCCAACTTCACTAAATGGCTGACTCTCTCTTGTACCACTCACTTCCTTGCCCACTCCATGTTGGTTTGCCCCTTTTTTACCTCTTCATTTGTTCTCTTAACATGTCACCCATCTCATTTCCCACATGGCACTCTTCAATTTAAATTAACATATTTGCTTCTTTTTGTTGTTTATCCTCTCTTCTGGACTCTTAGCTCAATGAGGACAGAGACAATGTCCACTTTGCATGTCTCCACGTATCCAGCATCAGACCTAGTGTATTGTAGGGACTCCATAAACGTCGAGACAAAAGTTAAATGAATGAATGATACGAAAGGATCAAAGGAAAGTTAAAATGCCTGAGTATTGAGTCTAGATGTGTGAAAGAAGGCAGAAAGTAGAACTATAGTAAGGGAAGTGGAGGAGCAGGGAGGATCTGTTTCAGACATGTTGAATTTCAGATGACTGTGGAATACTTGTCCAGGTAAGTCCCGCAAGCAGCTAGGAATGTGTGTGAGCAGTTGCCACAGAAAATACAACAATATCAAATAAGAGTAAAGAACTAGATCCTGACCATGTGTGATGGTTAATCTTGTCAACTTGATTAGACTGAGACACCTAGGAGTTTACTAAAGCACACCTCCTGGTCTGTCTATGAGACATCCAGAGATTATTAGATCATGAAGGCGCTAACTAATCAATGGCTTAATCCATTGATGGTTTCAAAATTTGGATAGACTATTGGGAGATGGTAGAACTGTGGGAGGTGGGCCTAATTGGAGGAAGTGGGTCACTGGGAACATGTTTAAGGGTATGCTTAGCCCTGGTTCCTTCCTGTTGCTCCTCTCTGCTTCCTGGCTACCTGAAGTAAGCAGCCTCCTGCTGCCATGACATTCTGCCTTGCCACATGTGCAAAGTAATGGATCCAGCCAGTCAACCATAGAGCAAAACCTCTGAAACTGTAAGTTAAAATAAATACTTCTTTCCTTTAAGTTGTTTCTCTCAAGTATTTGTCACAGCTAAGGAAAAGGCTGACTAACACACCATGTAAAAGCAAGAAAACCAGATTGTAAAATAAGCCTCCATTGGATATTATTCTACTCTATTTTCAAAACCTCTATTACTTGGATCACTTGTCACTGTGAAGGTAGAATTTTTATTAGGATACAAGCAAGGAGTATACATCTTCCTCAGGCACAGTTCTATCACTGTCTGGGAAGCAGTGGGAGAAAATAAAGGCACACAGACTGTCACTTAGAATCTTCAGACTGAAGGTCAGCTATGCTGGGTAATCACTGAGAAGTCCCCTAGTAGCCCACTGCTCCTGTATAAACGGTTTCTTTCTCCCTTGTTCTGCTCATTCTCCCCAATGTTTTTTGTCGTTGTTGGTTTTGTTTTATGTGTGTGTGTGTGTGTGTGTGTGTGTGTGTGTGTGTGTGTGTGTGTGTGTGTGTTTTCAATGGTACCGGGGTTTGAGCCCAGGGCCTCACACTTGCTAGGCAGGTGATTTACCTTGAGCCACTCTGCCAGCTCTTTTGTATTGGGCATTTTTGAGATAGGGCTTACTGAATTCTGCCTGGACTGGCTGTGAACTTCAATCTTTCTGACCTCTGCCTCCTGAGTACCCAGGAGTACAGGAATGAAACCTTGGCACCTGGCCCAATGAGTTCTTCATCTCTCATCTCAACCTACTATTTTTACTCAAACAACAAAATTATTTTTCTCTCTCTCCAACTTAATTATTTTTCTCCTGCCATATGTAACCTCTCTAGTCATCTCTTTCAACTTTTGAACAGTTCCCCATCCTACCTCATGCCTGTCCCCTCTCTCCTTCCCTTCACAGGTATACCGCAGTGGTCATGCCAGTTCACTACCAGCATGGCACGGGGCAGAGTTCTTGTCGGCGTGTGGCCCTCATGATCACAGCCGTCTGGGTACTAGCTTTTGCTGTGTCCTGCCCTCTCCTCTTTGGCTTCAACACCACAGGTAACATTATGGGGCTTCACTGCCAGCAGTCATGAGAGTCACAGCTCACCTGAGTGATTGTAGGTGGTGCCCACCCCTGACATGTCTGAGCCTTGCTCAGTATATTCTGCAATCAAACAAGGATGCTATAGACTACAAAGCTTTGACCTTTGTTGGGTATAAGTAAAATATAAAGCAAAACCTCATCAACTATTGGCACAAGGGTAAAACTCTGTCCCAATTAATAAAAGTCTGACTCACCCCTGTTTTGAAAGAAATGTCATTGTACTCATTTGAAGAAATGTAACAGATAAAAAATGAAGCTATGTTAATAATTCAGCTGGGGTTTGCTAATAAAAAGGTAATAATTCATAACAGATTTACAATGCAAAATAATATATCATAAAAGTCCTGGAGTAGGTTATATACTTTTAACTTTTCTTCTACAAAAATCATTTCTGAAGCTGGGTGTGGTGACTCACACCTATAATTCTAGCCACTCAGGATGCAGACATGGGGAGGATAATGAGCCAAGGCCAGCCCAGGCAAAAAGTTTATAACCTCCCCATCTCAACCAATAAAAGCTGGGCATGGTGGTGTACATCTGCCCTCCCATCCATGTGAGAAGCATAAATAGGAGGATTGAGGTCCAGGGTAGTCCAGGTATAAACATGAGACTATCTAAAAAAATAATCAAAACAAAAAAATAAACAAAGGAAGAGAGAAAGAAAAAAGGATGGAAGAAAGAAAGGGAGGAAGGAAGGGAGGGAGGAAAAGGAAGGAAGGAAAGAAGGAAAGAAGGGATCATTTCTGTTACTGATTCCCAAGTAATTACAGTATATATTTCTTATTTGCAAAACTTGCAGCTATGATAGCTGGCACATGGTGTTTCCCCTGGACGGATGGATGGACGAACTATGTGTACATCTGAGACATTTTGGATTATGAGCATATGACACCATCCAAAATTATACCTTGTATGGATCAGTGCCTCTGTATCTAGCCCATGTCCATTTTTTGGCCTCAGGAAATTCGTATGTTAAATGAAAGTTATTGACAATGTACACTGAATATTTGCAAAGAGAGAACCTAATGACTAGAATTCTAGTGTTCATCTGGATTTCTTATTTTGTCCATTTGGATTGGTTTATTCAATTCCTACTATACTCCATATTTGTGAATTTCTGGTCTAGATGTACTAGTCACACAGCATGTACTTATGTATATGCAGTTATTATATGTAACAAGTACCTATAAATACAGACAAATTCTAATGTAAATAATCTTCCAAGTATTGTTTTCTGGACAATGATTAGAAGTCAAAACACATTTAGGAAGCCAGACAGAAGCTCTGGAATCAGAAAAATCCTGGTTTCAACTCTAGCTCTAGTTCTACTATTTACCAACTGTGTTTCCTTGAATAAGCTACCTAACTTTTCTGAGTTCAGTTTCCCTACTGATAAATTTGGGATAATAGAATGAAATATAAACTTGAATAAATTCAAATGTATGCATTCAATCTAGAAAGTTAGGAAGTTTTCAATATTTGTTTTTATATATGGCCCCTTACAAATAAACCCAGTAACTACCTCTGAAATTATATGTTCCATATTAGTGCTATTATATATGACATATGTATCATGCATCTTTACTTATTATTGTTCAGGGTTATAACAAATCCATGTATATTCTTATATATAATTAAGGGGATTTTTCAAAGCAAATTTGGAGTCTATATAATGTTCACCCCATTCATTAACTTTAGAATCTTAATCTACATATAAAATAACTCTGCACTACCTCCTTCATAAAGACTTTGCAATTAAATGAGGATTAAATTAGTAAAACATTTGTAGATGTGCCAAGTGCACATATCACCTTCTCAAAGTCAGCCTTCTTTTTCTGCCACATTACAGGTTAAGTAGAAAAGTTATTAACAAATATTTGCCTGATTAACCCAGAGTGTTCCTAAAATTTGATGCTGTTATCTTTGTGTTATTCTTCCCCACTTGTTACTTTGTTATTTTAACTTAATGACACTTCATACACATAAACATATGCACAAGACATCCAACAATACTGCTTTAGAGGCTGACCCTGTGACACTCTGTGTCTATGGGTTAGTCAGATAGCCACATTGCCTTCTGTAACCTTATTCCTATATGCAAATACTTTCTTAGTGGAAATTTGTAGTGTGGGGAACTCACTACCATGGCTAGACCAAGGCTCTGCTTACCTGCCGCCCACAGCACTTCCTACCAATGTTTGCTGAGTGCGGTGTAGTTACCTTACTCATTCTCAGAGGCTGGAGGGGGTGATAGTACACACTCTTACACAGATACACCCTGGGAACAGCTGAAACCATCTCCAAATCTGACAGTAGACAGAGTTCCCAGTTAACGTCAACAATGAAAGTAAAGAAGAATGATGAGTTAACTGCAATGTTGCCACCAGTGAGATCATTGTTGTTCCAGAAACAAAACTCAGGAAATTCTTTTCAAAAGGATTTTCAAATTTAGAATTGAGAAAGCAAAAAGGGTCTGTAACAGTGAAGTACTCTGGTTGCTCATTTCTCTTACTTTTAAATTTATTAACAACACTCCAGTAAGCCCTCCAATTATTCAGATATTTGTGTTAAATGCCAGGTCCGTTGTAGAGCCCAATAGATATTAGCTGCTGTAATTGTTGTCACTATTTTAGGAAAGTTTTCTGTGACTCAAAATTTCCACATCTGCTCCAGGAATATATAATCAGTGGTATTTCTATTACCAGCAATGAGGGCTGAGGTCGTCTCAGGAAGAGACAGGAAGACAGAGACCTCTACTCAGTGTTTCCAGTGGTGCTTGTCACCATCAGAGAAAGAATTCAGAGACAAATCAAAGAAATTGGGAGTGAGCTTTTATTACTAACCAAAAGCACACACTCAAGAGGTGAGTGCTGGTGTTCTCACACTCACCGGGGTCTTGGAATGCACATCTCCTGGTCAAGCTCAATGAAGGGGAAGATTATTCATGAACCAAGGCAGGAAAAAAGGGGGAATTTCTGGAATGGGCTGGGGATTTTTCCCAGAAGAGTTTTCTCCCCTCATCTGTCCTTAGAGTTTGTTTTTTTAATCTGACATGGTATCAGATGCATAACCGGAACAAGCCAATTCTGTAAGGCTAATATATAGAGATGCCTTTATAATGAAGCAAAGAACAGTTAGGGGTCATCTCAGTGGACCATGCTGGTGCCCACTAGTTCTGGCAAGGTCTTGTTTGTCACTGTTTGAGTGGTCACACAGGTCCTGCTGTAAGGCATCTCTGCTGTGGCATTGCCTCCAGCTGCCATGCAGTTGCCTCTTTCCTGTGCTATCCAGCCCGCTTCAGTTCCGTGGGTGGTTATACAGACCAGATGTCCCGTCCTAGCACACAGTTCAGGAAACTGGTGAGTGAAACTCAGACAGGCAAGCCCAGTCATCCTGTGCCCCCATCTGACCTTCAGAGACTTTTTTATCTTGATGAATGTGGGTTCTTCCAGAAGCGTGCCCATCTCCAGGGAAGTTCCCAAGTTCATTTGAAAGCCCAATATGAATGACTTGTCTCAGCCATTTTTTTCTCCTGCTCCCTCTGTGAAGACTAAGGGGAAAAGGTTCTATAATACTGCCAATAATACCTGATAAGGACTGCAACACAAGAAAGAACTTTCTGGTGGAGCTCTTCTTTTAAGTACTTGAGCTGCCACATGTGGTTGTGAATTGTTAGACAACATAGAGAAAAGTTGAACTTTAGCCTCTTCCAACTTGGAGTTGCTGCTATTCTCTGAGGAAACGACACAGTGATGTGGAGTCTTGGGTCATAGAGAGTCCCAGGACTGGGGCCTGGCTGACCAGTATTGCCCCAGCTCCCAGCAGAAGCCCAGCAGTCTAGTCAAATATCACATCAACAGTCCCTAACAACAGCAGAGCATGGTGTGTCAGTGCGAGAGGCACCTAAAGATCTCTGAATGAGTAGCTCAATCCTTTCATTTCACAGATAAGAAAAATAACTAGCATTCAAATTTCTGCTAAATCAAATAGCTATTGTGTTATTAAAAAAAAAAGAATTCTAGAATGAATAAGCAATAGCTAGTGACAAGGGTTTAAGAAACCTTCAAGGGTTTCTTAAATTTAAGTTAAGAAAATCCTATCAGCTGACTTGATTTTCCCTTGGAAAAAAGAAGTGGAGGAGTGCTATTTATTTGATTTTAGCAATAGAACATTTCACCTGGCTTTTAGAACACTGCAGCCAGGGAGAACTGGGTTGCTCAATAAGTTAGAAGAATAGAAGCACACAGTTAAAAGAATAATGGCTCATCTTACAATCAGATTCATCAGCATCTCCTGTCTTTGGAATCAAGTCAAGGTCAAATCCTTCAACAAGTGTGAAGTTCATGAATTTTTCAAGTCAACCTTCTTTTGACCTTGCTATTCACATCACTATGGGACTCAAGTTCCCAAGCAAGCCCACAAAAGCCTTTTAGACCACTTAATAGAGCTATTTAGTGGGGTTTTTTCTTCTTTTTAAATTTTTTTTACTCAGCACAGAACTTTGAACATGGTAGGCCCTCCATAAAGATTTGTCCAATGAGAAAGTTGATCTTCAGCATCGCCCTTTCTTCCTTAAATGTTGACATAACCACCTCTAATCTTAGAAAAAGCGATTATTAGAGATCCCCACACCCAACCTAGCCTCTCCCCACTATCCTATAGTCAGTGAGTTTATTTATCTTTACAGGAGGGCAGAAAAGAATAGAGAGTATATGGAGGAACAAATGGGAAATTTCAGCTCCCCACGGCTGACAGCAAGATGAATCATGGGAAAGTGCCACACCTCTGGCCCCTTCTCACAGACAAAATGTGCTGAGAGTCCTCCTTATTAGAGGAGGCATTTAAGTGATGACTGCTGCTGACACAGGGCAGCTGGTTTCAGGGAGGAGGGCTCTGATCACCACCAACATGGCTCCCTGGAGATTCAGAACAACCATCAGATGCCACCCCATCCTTACCCCCAACCTCATCACCCCAGAATAGCAAAAAAAAAAAAAGCCAATAGTGACCACTATTCAGAGCCTTATGAGCCATTTCCTTAGGGATACTGACACAGGCTTTTGGTTAGATGATACAAATTTGACCCTTCCCCAAGATAATCAGGCAATTCAGAAGTAGCCAGCAAAGATTCTTTTGGTCACAGTATTGTCATTGAAACTGAGCACATCCTTTCCTTTGGTTTTAGTTCTTAGCTGTTGCTTCCTTCCCTTCCCTGCGAATATTGTGCTAAGTCTCCAAATTTCCGTCCAAGTGATACCTGCTCCCTTACATTCAAAAAGCTCAGGGTAGGTAAATAATAAAGTAAACAATAAATGATAATATAACTATCATTTATTCTCATTAACTCTCACAACCACTATACAAGAAATATTTTATCCTTTTATGGATAACGAAGCTGAGGTTTGGCATGGTTAGGTAGCATGCAAGGCCATGGGACTATTTAATGGCAGACCTGGACCTCACACCTAGGACCCCCTGGAATCTACCTACTTTAGAAGAGCAAGAAGCAGAAGGTGCCACTGCCCCCTCCCCACTGGCTCACATCTGAGGCCACATCAGATTTTTATTTTAGTTTAGTTTTTTTTACAGTACTAGGGTTTGAACTCAGGACCTTGCTCTGCTAAGCAGGTGTTCTACCACTTGATCCATGTCTCCAGGCCTTTTTGTTTTAGTTATTTTTGAGATGAGGGTCTCATGTTTAAGCCTGGGCTGGGTTGATCAGGACTGTAATTCTCCTATTTGTGCTTCCTGCCTAGCCGAGATGACAGGTGCCTATTACCACAGCCAGCTTTTTAATGGTTAGATGGGATCTTGGGAACTTTTTGCCCAGGCTGGCCTTGAGCTGCAATCTTTATGGTCTCTGCCTCTTGAGTAGCTAGGACTACAGGTGTGAACCACTGTACCCAGTTGTAGGTCTAGACTTTGAGTTGGAGAATTCCTTACTCTTTATGGAGATTAGGGCAAGTGTGCCAACAGTTGTTGACAGTGCTATGTGAGACAAATGTGCCATGTGGTAGAGGGAGTTAGAAAGTCAAAATTACAAAAAGAACATAGGTTTTGGGGTGAGGCTAGCTAAAGAAATGTATCTTTCAGGCTGCGTGGCCTTGGGCCACTTACTAAACCTTTCTGTGCTTTTGTCTGCTCATCTGAAAATAGAGACAGTCAGAGCAGCTGCTTCATTTATGTTGTCATAATGATTAGGTAAGATAATGAGTACGAAGTCTTTGGCCTGCCGCCTAGCAGATATTAGTTTGCTTCTCTCCTTCCTTTCCACACGGGGCAAGTTTCAGGCCCTGTCCTGGGCATTGGGGAAGTCTCAAACCTGCTCATAAGGAAAGCCAAGTCATAGGGACCTACTACCAAGGACGGGAGGAGCACTTTATGACATAAAGCAGGGACAAGGGCTTTTCTGAATTCACATTCTCCACTGTGATGATAATACCCTGCACTGCTCTCTTCCCATTCTGCCCTGGGCCAGTACTGGGATTTCCTGAAAAACCAAAGCCTATCTTACATTCAGCCACCACCTCCTATATCCTGAGTGCAAAGAAGACATCTCCTGTTCTTGCTGTCCCCAATCCTTTCCTGCCTCCACACCAGCAGGCCCTTTCTTGGACCCCACTCCCACCCCCACCCCAAGAGCCTCTTCTGTCCTGCTCCAGGGCCCTCCCAAAAGCCTCCCAGGCTTTACTTCTCTGTGTGACACTGGCCACATCACACATGGAAGAAGGGACCATCTGCCTCTCTAGACAGTTTGCTCCTTTAAGACAGACATGGTGTATTATGTCTCTTCATCTTTGCAGGAGTGTCTGGAATATGATCAGAGGTAAATTTTCTTTTGAAATGAGCTATAAGAAACACAAAGATGAATGAGGAACTGAAAACACAGTGTCTGAGACCACATGCCTATCCCACCCTCCACAGCATGACAAAGTGGAGGCCCACATGTCATATGGCCCCATGCTCAGGGCCTTCCACTGAAGCCCACTGGCAAACTGTGTGACCTTCTCTCACTCACAGGGGACCCCAGTGTCTGCTCCATCTCCAACCCTGATTTTGTCATCTACTCTTCAGTAGTGTCCTTCTATGTGCCCTTTGGGGTGACTGTACTCGTCTATGCCAGGATCTATGTGGTGCTGAGACAAAGGAGACGGAAACGGATCCTCACTCGACAGAACAGTCAGTGCATCAGCATCAGGCCTGGCTTCCCTCAGCAGGTAAGCACCTGGAGGGGACGGGGGAGAACAGCACCAACCCTGGGCCTCCTAGCCTTGTGTCCAGTCATCAGTGCCTGACTGTGTTTGTCCTGCCACTTAGGAAACACAGAACCAACACCTACCTTCTACTCTGCTGGCATTGTTTGTGCTTTGAAGGTAGGAAATCCAATCTTGAGGGAGCATTGAGTCTCCCTAGAACTCACCTTAGTTGGCAAGATGATAGGATGGTTTCTGGATTGTTCTACTTCCTTTAGAGTCTTTCATTTCCTTCAAATTGCCAGCAGTCCAGGTCACAAGGCTTGAAGTTTTATTTGACTTGATTTGAAGGGGGTAAGGTTTTAATGTGACAATTGTATCATGCACTCTGGTGGGCTCCCAGAACCAATTTTTTTGCCCAAACCATTTATCCCAAGAATCACTGAAGTTCACTGAAAACTTTTTTACTTCCAGATCTACCCCTGCATCAAGGCACTGACCAGCCAGTGGAAAGGGATGGGTCCTTCTAGGCTCTGAAAAGGAAGCTTATTGTCTCAGCACTGATATTACCATTGCTGGGGCTTTAGATTTTGCTTATTTTACTGCCTGACACATAGTAGCTTACCCATGATGTACTCAAGATATGAATGGATGAATACTGATCACTTGTCATCTAATAGGTGAGGAACCAAGGAAGTATCACACAGACTCTACCTTTAGGGAGCTCAGAATCTTGACAAGAAAATAAAACACACCTCAACCCCAAAAAGTCAATGAACAACTCATAACTGAGTGGGAAGTTTGGCAAATGAGAGGTGAAGACACCTAAATATGCAACTAAATATGAAGTGTGGTGGAGGTTATGAAAGGAGAAAGACCAATATGCTCAGGAAAAAGTTTAACAGGCAAAGTAAGAACTGAGTATGATCTTTAAGTCAGAATCAATTTAGGCGTCTAGATCACTCTCTGACGAGGTGAGTAAAGGCCGGATCTTCAAAGTTCTACTCAGGCTGAGTAGAACATGACTGTTTGGTCCCCATGAAATGAAATCCAAACCCCAAGTGTGACATGAGCACATTGCATTCAAAGCATTGTCATGTTACATGGTTACATATGACATGGCTAGCCCACAACTAACTGTTTCTCCTTCAATTTGCCCTAGTCTTCCTGTCTGAGGCTACACCCCATTCGGCAGTTTTCAATAAGGGCCAGATTTCCATCAGATGCCACAGGACAAATGGTAAGTCAGTCACATCTTGGATCAGAGGAAAATATTGCAAAGCCTTTTCCCAAGATGCTGGCTTGTCTGAATTCCATTCCCACCTTCAAATGGAATTTACACATATACACATATATCTCTAATATACAGCAATATCTGAGAGGCTTCCTGATTCGTCAGTGATAGTCAGAAAGCATGTGATTATTGGTCTAGATCCTGGTGACTAGAGCCAATGACTCTTGGATTTGGTGTGAAGATGCAGGCTATGAAACAGGACAAAATGAAACACACATGGGTAACCCTAAGAAAAGCAGAGAGAAGAGACTTTTAAGTGCCCTATTTGCTACTCAGTGTGGGAAAAACCAAGTCAATGTCATAGTTACCCTTGTTAAGCCTTGCCCTTCCAATTCAAGCCATCCCTGACAATCTCCAGATAGCAGAGTGCAGAATGGAGTCTGGAAGTGCTAAGTACAAGACCAGTATTCCTCTCCCTGAGTTCTACATTAGGAGTTAAACTTCAAAAACCTACAATGAGGAAGGTCTAAGTCTTGTCCAGTGTCTATATAATTAATTAACCACTTTTTACACAGGCCAGATGTAGTAATTAGAGACTCTTTCTGTAAATGATAAAAGCTAGATAGCAGCTTAAAATTGTTCATGGCAGAAGAAGGTCTCAGGAGGCTCCAAGGCCAAAGGAAAAGTGTTGACTATAAAGGAGGGATTGAAAGCCAAAAGGCTGCATTGCCAGCAGTATGGAGCACGAGGCTCTTTCCTGCCATCAGAGTAGAGATCACTGCCAGCCAGCTGTAGAGGAATCAATGTTTCCCTTGTCAATCATGAATGGAGGGATAAGGTTTGTAGAACGAGCTGAAAAATACACTCACCAGCAGGTAATTTTGGAAGAATCACCCTCCTCAGTAGTATTGAATATCTATAACTGTAAAATGGAAAAAGAGTATTCCTCCATTTCATAGGCATTCTGAGAATTTATCCTCAGACCCCCAGCTCCAGAAATAACTCATTAGAAGTTAAATATTGTCATTTTTTTAGAGGATCAAGAGGTGCCAGCTTAATCATAAATATGATCTTCGTTATAAAATTATCAAAACATAATGTTTATATTAATTATTAGAAAATCACATCAAAATGAGAGCCAATTTTTTTCAAAATATATTCTTCTAGAATCCCTAAGAATACCTCTGCAGAGCACAGTTTTTAAAACAGTAGATATCTTGAGGATGGCATGCACAGTGGTTCTGAGTGTGCATCATGTGTTGGCACTGTGGCTTGAAGATGGGGATCCCTTGAACTAAGGAGAGAGAAGCGAGGGGTTTGGTAGCTGGCACTGTCTGACTTAGGTAGACAAGGCATGTATGCAAGCTAGCCAGGTAGCTTATGGGCTCAGTGAGAAGTCAGAGAACAGCCCCACATGCTGCTCAGGTCTCAGGAATAAGCTAATTAGATGACCTAGGACACTGGACACTGAGTGTCACCAGTGGGAGATAAATTCTGAAGTTTTCTTACTTCTTGAGTTCCAGTTCAAAGTGTCAGGTATGAACCTCTAACATCCTGGCTTTGGTTTATGTCCTGGGGCTCCAGCTGCCTTGGGGGACAGGAGGAAGGAAAGATGTGAATAGCTGGCTTTCATGGTTTCAAAAGTGGAAATTGGAGAATTGTGCATCATTCAAGATTGACACAAGTACATTGTCCTTCAAACATGGAAAGAAGTTCAAATGTTGGACGTACACATATCCACACTTTCCCAGTCAAGTTCCAGAAAAATTCACATTCCATTTTCTACTTTTAGAAACTCATTTTTGCCAGGTTTTTTTTTTTCCTGTTTTACAAATGAGACTCAGAGACATTAAAGTAACTTGCTGAAGAATTATGTCCGCTAGGTAGGAAAGTTGAGATGAAAATCCTGGGGTTTCTTTTTCAACTTTCTACTATAAAAAATAGAAAAGTAGAAAGACAAAGATAACAAGGCCTTTAGTTTCCATTAGTTAGCTTCAGTACTTATCAACTTATCAATCTTATTCTATCTACACATCTACCTACCTTCACAGATGCATCACAGGACTTTAAGAAGTAAATTCCAGATATATTATTTCAACTGAAAATATTTCTGCAAGATCCGCTAAAGGATACAGAATCTTTTAAAAAACACATAATCCTGATGCCACATCAAACTAAAAATTAATAATTCTTTAATATTAACTAAATATCCAGTTGATGTTCAGATTTCCTCAATTGACTTATGAATTGTTTATGATTGGTTTGCTTGAATCAAAATTCAAATAAGGCCCACACTTTACAACTGGTCAGTGTTGTTGAAATGTATTTGTTAAAGAAATGGAATCATTTGCCTTATAGAATTTCCTACACTCCAGATTTTCTGCCTAAATGGCAGTGATGTCACTTACCATGTTCTTGTCTATAGACAGACCATTCTAACTCATTCTACCTGGACTACCAGCCTGTGCTGTCTCCTCAAGGGACTGTTGTGATTACTGAATGTTCTATAGCTATAGGTGCTTGTGAGTTACAAATCAGGAGCAGATTTTGATTCCCATAACTTTCCATGATGTCACCAGTCTTTCAAACGCTCCCTCTGTAGGTTTCACACACACACGCTCTCCTCTTCCGTCTTTGCCTGTCCTTTCCCTTTCAGGAACATGCAGAAGATTAACTATATCCCCCAAAATGTCAGGACCCTCTCTTGTCACACCTGCAGCCCCTCTCTCCTGGCCGGGCACACATGGAGCTAAAACGCTACTACAGCATCTGTCAAGATACTGCTTTGAGGCAGCCAAACTTCCAAGAAGGAGAAGGAGAGCTGAAAAGGGAGGAGAGGAGTAGGGACTCTCTGAGCCCTGCCATGGCACCCAAGCTCAGCTTAGAGGTTCGAAAACTCAGCAATGGCAGGTTATCAACATCCCTGAAGCTGGGGCCCTTGCAACCTCGGGGAGTGCCACTTCGGGAGAAGAAGGCAACCCAGATGGTGGCCATTGTGCTTGGTAAGTCTGAGTTGGAATGAGTTGGGTTGGTTAGATTAGGTTGAGTTAGGTTAAATTAGTTGGAGCTGATGGTGGGTGCTAGAGTAGCCACATATGTGAGAAATTGGACAATAATTTGACTACAACACTTATAAAATATTTACAGTATAACTGAAAAGGGTTTGTGCATAAATATTAACACTAGTGGAAACTCAAAAGACTAGATGAAATTGGTGAGGCTGAACAAGCTATCTAGGTGAACTATATTTTTCATTCTATCATATAGAATTATGTATAAGTCAATTAATGATTCCTTAAAAGTATCTGGTGCATATTGGAAATTTAATATAAACACTACTGTCTAGGTATAATTACAGCTAGATTATTTTAAATACAGAGAGAAAAAGCTGAACGGAAATTCATCAAGACCTAAGAAGTGATTGTTTTTGAGTGGTGGATCTTCCTCTCTCTACTTTTCAGTTTACCAAATTTCTCATTATGTACACAACAAAGGCTAACTTCTATAGTAGAAAAATATAATCTTTACCTAAGGAAAGAAATTAAAAGCCCAGAACAATGGCCCACACCAGTAATCCCAGCTACTCTAGAGGCCGAGATCAGGAGGATAGTTAAAGGCCAGCCCAAGCAAAAAGTTTGTGAAACTCGATCTTAAGCAACACAACTGGGTGTGGTGGTTCACATCTGTCATCACAGTGAGACTAGCCCAGGCCAAAACCCCAGGGGAAAAAAATGTGAGACCCTCCCCCATTTGAGAAATAACTAAAGCACAAAAGGCTGGGGCATGGCTCAAGTGGGAAGCACCTGTCTAAGTAAGTGTGAAGCCCTGATTTTAAACTCTAGTACCACCCTCCCCCAAATTAAAAATTGATAAGTCACAGGAACCATAGAGCATTAATGAAGGCAGTTCATCCTGTTCAGTATGACTAAAAACCCCCAACATTCTTACGTATCAGGGACTTCACCATTACCCCTGCCTGTCATCTCTTCAGCAGCAGGAACTGTGTCACTCACGTCTTTAAGGTCTTCCTCTCTATCAGAGTTAGGAGCATGTCTTTTGTAGACACTAAATAAATATCTGAATTGAATTGAGAAGGAGAAAAAACTGGTAAAGAAATATCTAAAGACCAGACTAGACAATTGCCCTTTGTTAGACGTGAGGTGAATCAAAGACATTAGCAAGCAGTTTCTTATCTAAGAAAAAAATGTATTAATTACACCTGCTTCCCAGGGTTGTTGTAAAAAGCAAATGGTATGTAAGACCTCCAGCATAGTGGCTGGCATACAGTAGGCGACTGTCAGTCATTTTCATGTTGTAATGAAAGATACCAGCAAGCTCCTTACCCAGTTTCCCCCTTCCTTTGCAATCCAGGGGCCTTCATTGTCTGCTGGCTGCCCTTCTTCTTGACTCATGTTCTTAATACCCACTGCCAAGCATGCCATGTGTCCCCAGAGCTTTACAGAGCTACCACATGGCTGGGCTACGTCAACAGCGCCCTCAACCCGGTGATCTATACCACCTTCAATATGGAGTTCCGAAAAGCCTTCCTCAAGATCCTGTCTTGCTAAAGGAAGAGAGGAGGCAGCAGCCCCTAGACCCACTCTAGCCTCCAGGCTATTGGGCCCCTGGCCAGGGCCTGCTGAGAAAGACTGCACTGTCCTCTGTCATGTGGGACAAAGAAGGTTCCTGGAGCGGGACAGTCCTGCATGGCAGGGGTAACCAACTGCTTCCTCCAGAACAGAATGTTCTCCCTCCCCAGCTAACATCTGACTTCATTCTGATAATCTTCACATGGCTGAGGGCCCCTAGGTGATAAGCAATAACTCAGAAAGAAGCCGCTAAACCATGACTGTATGCACACACAGAATTGGCATTGGAGGCACGATTCATTGCAGTGCAGGAAAAATGAACAGATCTCATCATTCTCAGCTTGCCAGGGGTCCTTGAAATCTCAGCCAGTAAACTGTCCTGCAGAACAGCCAGCCTCTTCCTTCAGACCTCTAATTAAACGTCAGCAGGACTAACCTTGTGCTTTTGTGGCCCCGCTCCTTCTCGGTTGCTTTCTTCCTTCACTGTATCCTAAAATGTGAAAGGCAAGGTCAGCGCGTCTACCTCTCTGGAGGATCTAATTGGCTGCATTTGGTGAGAAGAAATCCTTACCCCAAAGGAGACACTGTCCCATATTGGGACCTGGGCTTCATTTTAACTTTGCTACCCTTCTATTTTAGCTCTGGCTGACAAGGCCCCTTGACTCCATTCTCTTCCTTCCCAAGGCAAGTCTCAATTTCCAGAGTCACTCAAGATGAGGATGTTAACTGAGGAAGGAAGGACAATACCCATTGTAGTCTCACTGTTGAACTTTGTGGTCCAGAACTTGCCTTACTTATGCTTTCCATAACACTAAAAGGTTTTCCTAGGCAGGGCATCCCCATCTGCTTAGTGGAGACCCAAAACTTTCAGTTCTGAGACTCACTGAGGAGTAAGTGTCAGCAAAGTGCCAGTCATCTCCCAGTAGACAATAAATACCAATGACTAAGACAGCTACTGTCCTCAAAGACCTCATCTCCTGCTCCTAGTTTTTTCCATCTAATTTATTCAAGAGTGGTAGGGACACTCACCTGAACTGCCAGAGGACCTGACAACTGAAGGCACAAGACAACTGACGACTTGGGAGCTATCACATGGACAGTCTGTAATATCCTAGCATAGATCCTAAACATCATCACCCCAACAACTGAGCTCAAAAGTATAACAAGTGATTTGTAAATGTCCTTCAAAATTGCATTAGAAGAAACTAAAATATTCTCATCATTTACCTTCTCACCTTCTGTAGCTTCTGTCGCTATTTTTATTGATTGTAGAATCAAGGTAAAATTTATGGATAATTTATGAAATGTCATCCAAACTTCAATAAATTTACCATCAAGAGCTATTAGTGTATAGGCATGACAGATACCCACTGCAATGCTGTTAAAACTTTAAAGTACATCAGAATTTCACAAGGACTCCAAGGTCTCCCTCATCCCATCTTTATTCCTCTAACCCTTAAGTTTATAACAAGGAAGTATATATATATATACCCTAGTGAGTTAGTTAGCTGCTATCCTGAATGCTTTTAATTCTAGCATTTAAAAATTGTCATTGCAATAATAATGTTTATAATGTAACTTGGTGGCAAAATTCTGCCTGCCCACTAGTTTTTATACCTTGTGTCATCAAGACCAATAGGCTGGGCTGGGATGTAGCTCGGTGGTACAGCACTTGCCTAGCATGCGTGAGGCCCTGGGTTTGATCCCAGCAACAAAAAAGAAAAGGCAAAAAAAAAAAAAAGACCAATAGGCTGATGCTACAAGCAAAGCCGTCCTGGGAAAAGTAAAATATGTAGAAGTAAAGATTTATGGTTCCTAGATATTTCCATGCAAAATAAACAGAAAACAGGTGATTCAAAGTCAGGAGTCTGAGGACAGAAATATAAACAGCATCAGTATCACTATTGTGAGGAAGAATGATAGTAAATATTTTGAATCTTTTCTTTACATCAAGTACAGTAAGTCTAACTTATTTGCAGATTTGTTACAGTGGTTTTGACCAAGCACAAAACAAATATTAATAAATTTAAACAATCAATAGAAATTTCAAAACCAAAAATGTTTAACTACATATTATGCAGCTCAGTTTATACAGAGATGCTCTCCTTCAGTCCCATGTCACCATCAGCTGTGTTTAAATTATGTGATCTGCTGAGTGTGTCCTTGTCCTTAATTTTGTGAAATTATGCCTCCCGAAAAGAAAATGATGCCCCCAAATCAAGGTAAAATTTATGATAATCCTCTCACTTAAGTGATAAAATGAAAATTTTACATTTATTGAAAGGTGGCATGCCTTTAGCAGAAGCTGAGCAGTGTTATAGAAAAAATGAGACAAGCATCCAGAGTAATTGAGATAAAGAACATGAAATAAGATCTTGGTATTATTGATAAGTATTAATATGTAGAACAGTAATTTTTGTAAGTAGCTTACTCCATGCAGCTTCAAGTTATAGATGCTCAGATCTACTCTACATACAGTACAGGTAGATTTGAGAGTAATTTTATAGTACTGAACTCTATGTATCCTGCATATTTTCAATTTTTCCTCTGTGGTGGTTTCCTTGGAACAGCATACCTTTGCAATCATATACCAAATGTCTACTGTACTCAATCTTTATCATAACCTTAGGTAAGATGAATTTATTTTATAGATGAGGAAACTGAGGCAAGGGAAGTTAAGACACTTGCTCCAGGTCACGCAGAGTCAACAAGTGGCAGAGAATTCAAATGTCTGATTCCCATGCTGTGTAAACTTGCCATCATAGCACACTGCTTCTCGCCAAAGAGGTGTGGGGGAGAGGAAGGAAAAGGTGAGAAGAAAATGATGAATAAACTTTCTAGGAAGAGTCTCACACTGCCCTCATTTACCTGTACCCTAAACTTCCTAGAACCCAGCCCAAGACATTAATTTCACTCTCCTGCCATGTTCAATTTCTGAAACAGTACCATGGGAAATCAATTCCTATTTTTGTAGAATCATGGAACAATCCTTAGGGAGTATTTGGTTCTGCCTTCTCCTTTTACATAAAAGGGAACTGAGTTCCAGACTGTTGAGAATGCTTCCAGGGCAAATATTGTCAGCACTGATACAATTAAAAAAAAAAAATAGGGTATTCCAGGCAGTAGTCCTCTAAAGAGCTAAAGATAAGAACAAACAAGGATCATCAAAGAATTATAAGTAATTCCATCTGGCTGAAGAGAAGAGGCCCTAATCATAGGACATGAAAGAAAAGGGCTTCATTTCTGAAGACCTCCTAAAGCTTTGCTCAGGTGGCAACTGAGTTGGTGTCATAGGAGATCCCTAGATCTTGCACCCCTGACCACCATGTGGTCAATGCAGAACAACCACTATTGATTTATTTAACTGTTTGTCTCTGAGCTACCCCAGTTTTCAACAAATTCAGGCTTCAGTTTGAATTTGTCTATCTTTTCTCTGAACAAGAGGGATTGGCTAGGTGAATGGACCTGGCATCAGAGATGGTTAACATTAAGGCAGTTCAGACACTTTGGGTGAGAAACCAAGGGAGGGTAGGCAAAGAAATTTGTTTTTGTGAATGCTTGGATCAGAATTAAACAGAGAGGCAGAAGGGTTAAGGGAGTCACTCAGAACTGGTTGTTTCCTGGAGATCCTAGCTCCCAGGTCTGTGGTCTGATCATTTAGTATCTGCTGACATTAGAAAACTGAAAAAGCTTAATTTGAATCAATACACAGAGAGCAGAGAGGGGATGACAGGCAATTAACTCAATTCCTCAGTTCTACCTAATTGTCTACTCATAAGCTGAGGAAGGGAGTGAGTTTCCATGACTACCTCCTAACACAAAGCCTCAGTGCAGGTGATGCTAGTGTCAGCTCTGCTCTGTAGCACATGCTGGCAGAGGCAGAACCTGAGAGTCCAGGCCAAGCACAAGACCTGGGAGCAGCTGCGCCACCACTCTCACCTCAATTAATCACCTCGTGTCCATCTTTGTACTTTGAGTCTCTGCTTTATATAGTCTTCTGGGTGCTGGAAAGAGGTCGTAGGCCTCTGATGTTGAATGTGCTCCAAAGAAGGAGCTAGGCTGAACCCAAGGTGGCTCTGATCACCTTATGAGAAAGACAATGGTCAGGCAAGTAAACTTGGGCAAGTAGTTTAACCTGAGCCTCAGTTTTCTGAGTAAAATGGGGACCTAAGGACCTGGCCTTCCCTATTAGATCATCAAATAAAATCACAAATTAGAAGTTGTCATTATCTGTTTCTGTTGCTATTAAAAATACCTTTACTGGGTATCTTAGAAACAACAGAAATATCTCACAGTTCTGGAGCCTGGGAAGTTTGAGACTAAGGCACTGGCAGGTTTGGTACCTACTGTTAAGATGGTACCTGTAACTGTATCCTCGAGACGGCACAAATGCTTTGTCCTCATGTGGCAGAAAGGTAAGGAGAAAAGGCTTAGTAGATTCCCCCTAGCCTTTTTATAAACCGCTAGTCCCATAATGTGCATAAGGGCAGAAGCCTCACAGCCTAATTACCTCCTAAAGACCTTACCTCTGACTACTGCTACACTAGGGATTAAGTTTCAACATGAATTTCACAGGGCACACAAACATTCAAACCATAACAGAAGGCCTTTGTTAACTAGAAAGCCTATCAAATGAAAAGATCACTATTACCATTGGTATTTTTATTATTTTTCCCCAAGCACCTGTCATTATCATACCTACCTAGTTCATAGCCTACCCAGAACTTTCTCAAAATATTTGGCACAGTCTTTTCCACCTCCCAAGTGAGACTGAATTTTTCTCTTGTCTTTTACTCTCTAAATGTACCCAGGATACTTTGTAGTTTTATTTCTAGGGAAATGGATAGCACCAAAAAGGGCATCCCTTTCCTGCTTACACAGCCCAAGTACGTTATGATCTAAAACCCAGGTTGAAGATAGGAAACACTTACTTGCAGAAGTTTTTTTTGTGTCCTTTGTTCCTCTCCTGGGTACAATGAGGAGCAGAACAGATTTATTCCTCAAGACCTTCTGTCGTTGTCCCTAATGACATCTGAGC